AAAAAGGCCCTTTTCAGGGCCGCATATATATCTGAATTAATAAGTTATCGTTTCATACAAACGAGAACGTCTAAACAATCATAATATTCCGTATAATATATTATTAAATAAAAATAATAATGTTAAGTTACGCATGTATGTGAGTACACAGTATTTATTTAACACATAGCTACAGTATTTAGATTATGTAAGTAAAAACACTTGTATACAATAAACTATGATGAGACGCACAAAGTTATTATCGTAAAGGATACAATAAAATAATAAATATGTACATGCATTCTGGAAACAAAAAGTCGTGATTGTCTTAGATGGCAGGAACTTCCATTGAAATACATATGTACATATACTGCAGGTGCCTCGCCTCTCTCACTGGTCCGTTCCTTTCTGAAAACGATTTATTGATATGTATTTTATTTTATTTACATATAATTAATGAAAATAATATTTATTGCAAAATTTTACTGAGACATTACTCTAGAGACATGCGCCCGCCGCGGGGTCCGGGGAGGGCGATACAGAGTACCCTCCTCCCCCCCAACCCCGGGCCCGTCCCCGTACATAACACTCGTACGGTCCCCGTCCGCCACCCCCCCTCCCCCGCCGCACCCCGGTACACGCTATAAAAAGGACGGTTTTGTGGCCCCGTACCGATTATACTCAGAGATCTACACGCGTCGCGCATCGCGATAGGTAACAATCGTGTGTGAAGAAACAATAGCATCAACTACACTACATCATGACCGGTCGCGGTAAAGGAGGAAAGGGTCTGGGAAAAGGTGGAGCCAAGCGTCACAGGAAAGTGCTCCGTGATAACATCCAGGGCATCACCAAACCGGCCATACGTCGTCTGGCAAGAAGAGGAGGCGTCAAACGTATCTCCGGTCTGATATACGAAGAGACCAGAGGCGTACTCAAAGTGTTCCTCGAGAACGTCATCCGCGACGCGGTAACGTACACCGAGCACGCTAAGAGGAAGACCGTCACAGCCATGGACGTCGTGTACGCCCTTAAGCGTCAGGGACGCACCCTCTACGGTTTCGGCGGTTAAAGCAGCAGCAGCAGCCATATCCTCCGATATACACACACGAAGACGACGACGTGATATAAAGCAGCAAGTGAAGAGTGTGGTGGTGGTGGTGATGATGATGATTCCAGTGTGTCTCTCTCGTGTGGTGTGCAGATCATCCTATTATTCTGCCCCCCTCACCCGCCGCCCGACTGCCCGACACTTCCTTCCACTCACTCTCTCTCACTCTCCCTCACCCTCACCCTCACCCTCTCTCTACTTACTCGCTTTATATCACGACGCGTCATCGTTACTGTTGGGGAACGAGGAAAAAAAAAAGAAAAAAGGCCCTTTTCAGGGCCGCATATGTATCCGTTGAAATATTATAATTATTCACGATTATCGTGAATATCGAATATAGAGTTTCAACGACGGAATAATAAACTATATTATTATTTAATTTATAGTATATAATAGTAATAATATAAAAAAATCATAACTATCTCAACACACTTATGTTCTCATCACTCAAATCACCTATGGTCGTCGTCCATATCTTATGTTCTAAATATTATACACATATTACATACATAATATTTAACAGCATTTTAAATAAATTTAGATAATCGATACCTACTATTACTAATAATAATAATGATGATACACGTATGTACCTCTGTCTCTCTACGTGTACATTACATACATACATACATTGCATATTATAATATGTACAATCATCATTTCGATAATCGTATCATCATATTCATCCGCTGCTATCGTACAATTATACAATAATATTATTCATAATTATCGAAAATTATGTCCTTATATTATATAATACATAACATAACGAAGACAACAACCACTACGAAGACGATTATACTATGCATTCGTGTACGCGGCCTTTGCTTCTCTCCATACTCTAACATCCCGGTGTGTGTGTTTTACGAGACCAGACTTCGATGCCGCATTAACAGTTCATAGATAATAAAAGACGATGATTATTCCATGGGCCTGAAGGAGTGATGTCTTCGTTTTCAATTAATCGATATCACATTACGCTATACGCTATTCTAAATGAGAAAAATAACTTTTAAACGAGACGTTACCTACGTCCCGAAAGGTATATAGAATTCAAACGTCTATTAATCTATGCTAACTACGTTTATAAAGTTATTTATTGTTCACTACGAAAGTTAGTTTTAAGATTAAACATATTGCATCTTTAAATTTATATAAACATATATATTATATTAAATAAAACATATAAAACGGATGGATGTTAGTGAAAAGTTAGAAGTGTTCGTACGTGAAAATGTTTAGCGACAACACGGTTCTCGTTACGGCATACCCGATTGTTAAATAACTACTAGCGACATCTCCGGCTATCATCATAGTTATATTTGTTTATAAACTGTGTCTGTGTGTCTGTGTGGTGTTGTGACCTGCTGAGAAGAATAATAAAAATAAAAAAAATAAAAAACATTAAAAAAATGGCAGATACCGCAGTTGCATCTGAAACACCGGCTCCGGCTACGCCTGCGAAGAAACCGAAAGCGTCAGCGGCCGCCGCCGCCGCTGCGGCCGGCTCGAAGAAACCTAAGGCTAAACCTACTCATCCCAAGACAGCTGAAATGGTAAACAACGCCATCAAAGAGTTGAAGGAGCGCAGCGGTTCATCGTTACAGGCTATCAAGAAATACATCGCCGCTCAATATAAGGTCGATACGGAGAAATTGGCACCGTTCATAAGAAAATATCTCAAGAGCGCCGTCGAGTCCGGTGCCCTGATACAGACCAAGGGGAAGGGTGCTTCCGGTTCATTCAAATTGGAATCTAAATCATCAGCAGCCAAGAAACCGTCGTCGGGTGGTGGTGGTGGTGGTGGTGGTAAGGCAAGTGGTGGTTCCGCCGGAACCGGTAGGGCTGCAGCTTCGTCGGCATCCGTTAAATCTAAGAAAGCCGCCGCAACGGCATCGGCGGTGGCAGCGAAGGGAGGTAAGAAAGGCGGTTCCGTAGCTTCGTCGGCTGCATCTTCGCCGTCCAAAGCTAAAGCATCGGCGGCAGCGGCCAGGGATAAGAAAGCGGCCGCAGCCGCAGCAGCAGCTGCCAAAAAGAAGCCGGCCGCCGCTAAGAAAGGTTCCGCAGCCGCGAACGCCTCTGCCGCATCCTCCGCGACAGCTTCTAAGGCGAAAGGTGCAGCATCCAAGGCCAAGAAGAGCGCCAAACCTCCCACTAAGAAACCTAAAGCCCCGAAACCGAAGAAAGCATCCGCCGGTACCCCGAAATCGAAACCCGCAGCTAAGAAAGCAGCAGCAGCAGCAGCGAAAAAGTAATAATTTTTGTATTGCTTTATCTATCGCGACGGCGGCAGCATCGGCACCGTGAGTGGTGAGCGCGCTCGGGGGTTGTAGACTTACGATGATACAAGTTCATTATAGATAAGAGATTCTAGATCATCGGAATGTCTCTCGGCGTCCCCCCGTACTCTTCAACGTTCGAGGAATCTACGAGAGTGACGTTCATCTTACAGGCACGCGTCGCAGATACGAAAGAAAAGAAAAAAAAAATACATAATATATAAAAAGCCCTTTTCAGGGCTAACATATATTTCATTATGAACCCAATCATGTCGGAAACTTAGATTTCGACACAACGTTGTGTTCTCGTTTTCCGAATGACAAAGATCGTCTCCTATAATAATAATAATAATAATAATAATAAATATATAAATAATAATCGAATACAAGATAACATTCACGAAAATAGCGAACAATTCAGTAATAATATTATAATACGATAATAACAAAGTCAGTGGTGGCCAATTGGTTAAAAGGCCGCCCGCCTCTCATGCATGAGGGCGCGGGTTCGACCCTGGCAAGAATGACCAATGTGATTTTTCCAAGTTATATATTATGTACTTTCTTAGAGTATTTAGACATCACTCACTGATTAATGTTGATTCCCAAAGAGGGTTGTTGATATCAGGCAGGCGGCCGGTCATACATATAAACAAATAGCCAAATTATTCTTATAACATGTAAAACAGACCCTGGCTACAGCTGGAAAATTGCCAGGTAGAAGAAGAATAACAATACTGAATACATAGTATTAGACATATTAAACATTCTTGTTATAAATAAATAAAGATATTATATTATGTTGTTAGTATTATAGAAAATATTAGTTACATTGTACATAGCAGTACATAATTTTGATAATAATAATAATGAAAAACACCATATAAAACATAATAATGTAACACTGGTGACAATTATTTTCTTTTAACTCACTTTTGGAAACCTTTATGACTCTTGTACCATTTACGATCGAGTAATCGAAATCTTCAATAAAACTATAAGGAATGTATAAAACTATACTTTAGTACTATAACTATAAGGAATATGTAAAACTAAACTGTGTTCAAGAAACGGTAAATAAGAATTTATTAGCTGCACAACATAATATTAAAGAAAAAGGATATCGTATATAAATTTAAGTATGAACAATATATATATATATATATATATATATATATATATATATATATATATATATATATATATATATATAATGCTTTTCCCGCATCTGCTGTGCCTAATAATTCAGATATTGACTAAAGCAATTCATTTGTTTTTTTTTGTCTGTTTTCAAAATATATGTAATTAATGAATATCTTAATTACACCATATGAATTGATAAATTCCGTTTTTATTTGATATACTTACGCAGTTTATTGAAATTTCATCGCGTACGATTATTTCATTGAATTTCAAGACAAAATACTATTATTTTTTTTAGTCTATAGTACGATCCTCTAAAAAAAATGTCAACACTGATTGGAAAACCCTCCCGCTTCTCTCCGCGTCTACTTTAGCTCGTCATTCGTCTATATCCCCACCCCACCGATACGTGTAGACGTATATATAGTAAAGAGCCGCGCTACGGTTTTTAGACAGCCATCGACCTTCGACTGGAGCAGTCGCTTTTATTAAAGCGACTCACTGTCTCGGACCACCTCGGTCCCTTTCGCCGCATCACGCTGTACAGCGACGCGGCGACCCCCTCGTCTCAGTACCGTCCGAGCGCTCTCAGCGTTCGGACGTTGTCCTGCAGCGGACCGCGCTCCCTGAGCTGCGTCCGCTCCCCGTGTCAGTGGACTGTTGCCTAGCACGTCCACTCTCCGAGTCAGTGGATTGTGCCTAGCACGTCCACTCTCCGAGTTCAGCGGATTGTGTACGCACGTCCGCTCCCCGGGCCACGTCGCCTGCACTTGTTCCACGTGCCGTGTGGTTCGAGTGCAAAGACTACAGTGCAGTGTTAGTGTAGTGTAGTGCCGTTCCAGTGCGCGCCGCGTATTGCCAGACGCTTTAGGGCCGCGTACCCACACCCGAGGTAAGGTTGTAGGCACACACCTTGCCCTCACCAGGCGAGTCCGTAGGACACAACTAGGTACTCATCTCCCTGCCGCCTGGCAGGGAGGATTGGTAGAATTCCCATTTAAAATAAGTCACCATGCCCAACCTAGACCCGCACACCTTCACCGCCTTCGCGCGGAAGATGGCCCCCGAGTTAGTTCTCAGATTCATATCTGAGTCCCTGGTCCCCACCCCCAACTCCCACATGGAGTGTTCTTCGGCCTCGGCCTCGGAGTCTGGTTCCCGGCCTAGCTCCGAGAGCGAAGCCGACGACGGATTTACAACCGTCGTCTCCAAGAAAAAGAGGAAGCGTTCCTCTAAAACGCCGTCCACCTCCGCCCCCCAATCCCCCTCAAACGCCGCGAACGCCCCCGCTGCCGCCGCCGCTAACTCTCGCCCCTCGTCCCCCTCAGGGACACAAAACCCACCCTCTCCCGCCGCGCCCGTCGCGAAGCGGCCCAAACCCGCGGTCAACTCACCGTCCGCGTCTCCCGACGCACCACCGCGGGATAAGGCGCCTCCGCCGCTTTACCTAAAAGACAAAGATAAGTGGGACCATATGTCACAACTATTCATAGACCTCCGAATTCATTTCACGTCAGCCCGGCCGACTAAAGACGGGATTAAAATACAGACGTCCTCAGCGGATGACCACCGTAGGATGACAGCCCTTCTGCGGGAGCGTGGTATTGGATACCACACTTACGCATTAGAGGAGGAGCGCCGCCTTACGGTTGTGATCCGCGGGATGCCGTGTGAGATCCCAACAGAGTCCATTTTAAGTGACCTTAAGTCACAAGACTTCCCGGTCCAGGCAGTACACCGGATGTACCGCCCGACCAATAAAAAACCCTTCAACATGGTGCTTGTCCACTTGGACAACACCAAAGAGGCTAAAGCCATCTTCAACATAAGCACGGTCTGCTACCTGTCCGGATTACAGGTAGAGCTCCCCCGCGGCCGCGGCATCCCTGGGCAGTGCCATCGCTGCCAATGCTACGGCCATTCAGCTAGGTTTTGCTACGCACGTCCGAGATGCGTGAAATGCCTAGGCGACCACGCGACGGTCGATTGCGAAAGGAAAACTCCCTCCGAGGACATCCCTCCGAGCTGTGTCCTGTGCCAGCAATCGGGCCACCCAGCGAACTACCGCGGGTGTCCGAAAGCCCCGCGCAGGGCAAAGCGAGGAGGGAAAAAATCCGCTCGCCACCAAAGAGCTCCTCAAGCTCCTGCCACTCAGGCCCCTCAGGCCCCTCAGGCCCCTCAGGCCCCTAAAACACATAAGGCCCCTCAGGCCCCCCAGGCACCGACGGTCAATGCCTGGTTTAGGAGTAAACCCGCCGGAACAACTGTCGCCACGTCGCCGGCTGCGCCCGTACCTCCAACCGCGCAAGACAGCGGGGTCTCCAACCCCCTGCCTTCAATCACCAAGTACTTCGGGGCGTTCGATCCGCCCGAATTACTCATATTTGCGAACAAGCTCAAGGCTTGTGAAAATGACGACAAAGCTCGTCTAGACGCGTTTTTAGAGCACGCAGTCATGATTAACGCTATCTATAACATCACAAGATCAACATAAATGGCTTCGACGCGGTGTAGAATAAAACCCCGCTCCCTAAGTGTCGTCACATTCAACGCTTACGGTCTCGCTCGTCAAATTCAACAGGTGCGCGACTTCGTAGTCAAACACCACGTTGACATACTCCTGGTCCAAGAATCCCTCCTCAAACCCAGTATGAGGGATCCTAAAATAGCCAATTATAATATGGTAAGAAATGACAGGACCTCTTCCACGGGGGGAGGTACTGTCATTTATTTTAGGCGGTCCCTCCACTGTGTTCCCCTAGACCCCCCACCCTTAAATAGTCTAGAAGTCTCTATATGCCAGGTAAGCATGACGGGCCATCAGCCCGTCATACTTGCCTCAGTTTATCGCCCCAGCAATCTCACTATCGACGAGAACGACATAAAAACTTTACTCTCATTGGGAAACGCCACCCTTCTGGCAGGCGATTTCAATGCTAAGCACCCAAGCTGGAATCCCTCAGGGTCCAGAAGTAATAGAAGCGGTCTTATACTCAACCGACTGACCTACAGACCAGATTTTGACTTCACAATATTAGCCCCCTTGACACCGACCCGCTACCCACTCGAACCGACTCACAGACCAAACATACTCGACATAGCGCTCTTGAAGGGCGTAACTCTACAGTTGCGCTCTATTGAGACACTATCCGAGCTAGACTCTGACCATCGACCTGTCCTTATCCAGCTAGGACCTCCCCCCGAAGCGGCACCCCAGACTAAGAGAATCATCGACTGGAAACAGCTTTCCGAGCGACTCCAGTCGTTAGATTCTCCGCACCTCGACCAAATCCCTAACTCCATCTCCTCGGTCGAGGATGCGCAAGTAGCTTGCGTAGGATTAGGGAGCTTCATCAGCGACAGGGTCGAGGGATGTACGAGGGAGATCTTAGACAGCCATAACGGCCGACGAGAAATCCCTCTGGATCTTCGAGACCTTATCAATGAGAAGAACGCCGCGAACAGAGCTCACGACGCGGCCCCCACGATAAGTAACAAGAGAAGGCTTCGTCGACTCGCGAGGCAGGTGAGGCAAGCCTTCGCCGACCTCCGAGACGAAAACTGGGACAGGAAGCTCTCCTCCATCGCTCCTTCGCATCAGGCCTTCTGGTCCCTGCAAAGAGTGATGAAGGGGGATTCTGTCTCGGTGATGCCTCCCCTTGTTCGACCAGACAACCCCATTCCCGCGTTTGACGACCGAGACAAAGCGGAATGCTTGGCAGACAGCTTGGAGAGCCAGTGTAGCTTAAGTAGGCAACCGACAAATCCTGCCCACATCCGACATGTGGAGCAGGTCGTACGAGATAGGTTACTTCTGCCACCAGAGGACCCCCCACTCAAACCGACCGACACTGAAGAAGTGTCATCTATAATTAAGGGACTTAACGTTAAGAAGTCCCCTGGCCCCGATAAAATTTCCAATAAAGTCTTAAAGCTCCTCCCTCCCCGCCTCATTTACCTACTGGTATGCATGTTCAACGCTCTATTGACCGGATGCTCATTTCCGGACCAATGGAAAGAGGCCACTGTCATAGGTATACCTAAACCGCGCAAACCCAGCAACCTCCCAAGCAGTTACCGCCCCATCAGTCTCCTAAGCAACTTAGGAAAAATCTATGAAAGGATCGTTCTGTCCCGCCTCAAAGCGGAGATAGAACGACTTGAAATAATCCCCAATGAGCAGTTCGGCTTCAGAGCCCGTCACTCCTGTCCCCAATTGGTGCAACGATTAACAGAGCACATTTCTCTCAATTTGAACTCTCGTAAAAGGAACAAGAGCGGAGCCCTCTTCTTCGACGTGGCGAAGGCATTCGACAGAGTCTGGCACGATGGCTTGGTATACAAGTTGTACCAATTCAAAGTGTCAGATAGGCTCGTACTCATCATACGAGACTACCTGTCGAATCGTTCCTTCCGCTACCGAGTGGAAGGGGAGCTCTCGTCTCTACGACCTATCAGAGCCGGTGTCCCTCAAGGATCAGTGCTATCCCCTACGCTCTACTCCATTTTCACCAGCGACATACCCAGGCCTCCAAGGGGCACTTACCTAGCCCTTTTCGCGGATGACACCGCAATTTATACTTCTGGAACCCGGGATAACGATGTAATCCGCAGGCGCCTCCAGACCGCTGCCACCGCCCTAGGCGTCTGGTTTCGGAAATGGAGGATAGACCTCAACCCCGAGAAGAGCACAGCAGTGTACTTCCAACGGGGTCGTTACATCGATATCCCGGCTCCAATATCTATTTTCGATACACCTATCCCCTGGCGGAAGGTAACCAAATATTTGGGTGTAACGCTTGACAATGCAATGTCCTTCGGCCCCCACATCAGAAAAGCTAGGAACCGAGCCGCCTATGTTCTCGGCCGTCTCTACCCCCTTCTATGCGTGAGGAGTAAAATGTCACTTAGAAATAAGATGACGTTATACAAATCTTGCATAAGACCAATTATGGCTTACGGTAGCGTAGCATTCGCCCACCGTAATCTCAAACCATTTCAGACCCTACAAAACCGCTTCTTGCGCACGATCACGGGTGCCCCGTGGTACATGCGTAACGCAGATCTTCATAGAGACCTCGATCTCCCCACTATTCGGCAACACTTCAAAGTACTCTCCGAGAGGTACTTTGAAAGAGCCAAAACTCATCCCAACCCTCTGGTGAAAGAAGTCGTCAGATACACCCCAAACCAATTCCATAAGGGCTGTCGGAGGCGCCCTAAACATATTCTCATCGATCCGGACGATGAAATCACTATAAGGAATAGGACCACCGCCCGTCGTCCGATAGTAGTAGGGAAACTACACAAACAATCACCACACACACCCACCGCTCTCGCCGGCGAGAGCGAGGTCCCCGCTTCCGCACGTCTCTCGCAAGAGGGCGTCGGAGGCCGCCGCTGGCAAACCCCCCCTAAAATCCACGACGTCCTAAGTTCGTGGTCCGAGCCTCACACTAGCAGGCGCCCTTAGAACGTACGTTCCCTGGGGTCCTTCAGGCCCCTTTTAACGGGCCGGTCCCAGTACCGGCCCACTCTTCCGGTGACGCTGTCAAAGCCGCAGGGCTAACAGCAATACACATTACAAAAAAAAAAAAAAAAAAAAAAAAACTACGGTTTTTTTTTAAATTACTCTCTGCCAGTCGCGTGTGTTACGTTATTATATCAAAAGGTTAATATATTCGCAACAATGTCTGGACGTGGTAAAGGTGGTAAAGTTAAGGGAAAGGCGAAGTCTCGTTCTAACCGTGCAGGTCTACAGTTCCCCGTCGGTCGTATACACAGATTGCTGAGGAAAGGAAACTACGCGGAGCGCGTCGGTGCCGGTGCTCCCGTTTATCTCGCTGCCGTTATGGAATATCTTGCTGCTGAAGTACTCGAATTGGCCGGTAACGCTGCCAGAGACAACAAGAAGACCAGAATCATACCTAGACATCTTCAGCTGGCCATAAGGAACGACGAAGAGTTGAACAAGCTTCTATCCGGTGTGACCATAGCTCAGGGTGGTGTACTACCAAACATCCAGGCCGTATTATTGCCCAAGAAGACGGAGAAGAAGGCCTAAAGGATTATCATTGATGATCATCGGACCGCACCACCACCACCACCACCACCATAATCATCATCATCATCATCGTCGTCTCCGTCTACATATATACTAATGTAATGGGTATATAATATGTAATGGTTGATGTGATGTTTGTTTGTATGCATGTATACATAGTCATACATCCAATTGATGTTTATTTAAAAGGCCCTTTTCAGGGCCACAAAATAAATCGTTGTTTAACGTATATATTTTATATAATATACGAACAGTTCCATCGATACGAGACGTCAATTATAATAAGTAATATTATTATGTATTATTATTTAACGTATGTATATGAAACTACCTAAGTATATAATTAATTACATATTATACAATTTCTTTTAAAAGCAATATCATGATAATAATAAATTAAATAACTGATAGTAATCTACTTTTCAAAGTCGATAGATAATCTCATAATGCTATTATTTATTATTAGTTTTCAAAATAAACAAAAAATAACACAAAGCATTTAATGACCGAACGGTAATTAGTGTTAAGTACAGGTAATAAAATAATAATAATAGGAAACACTGACATCATAATTTTTATGACTCTTCTATTGTTATTATTAAGTACATACTCTTTATTTAATAGACTGTTTTTACATACTCTTATTTTATGATTATTATGTTATGATTATTATTTTCAAACCGAAACCCCCCTCCGCCACCCCCCCCCCCCCCCCCCCCACCCCGCAGACGGAAAACACATCGGACCCCACGATCGGAACCGACGCTTCCTATTGGTCGGTCCCCGGTGTGGACGTGCGTGCTCGATACGTAACTACATACTTGAGCATAATGATACACACTAGACCCTGGGTTGGATATTTTTTTACAGAACAGCTTACAGTACTCCGTACCGAAAGCACCGTTGAAGTCAATCGTTGTTATAATAATATATCATATTATAATCAAACATGCCGCCTAAAACCAGCGGTAAGGCAGCCAAGAAGTCCGGCAAAGCTCAAAAGAACATCTCCAAATCCGACAAGAAGAAGAAGAAACACAAGAGGAAGGAGAGCTACGCTATCTACATCTACAAGGTTCTGAAGCAAGTGCATCCCGACACCGGTATATCAAGTAAGGCCATGTCGATCATGAACTCTTTCGTGAACGATATATTCGAACGTATAGCCGCCGAAGCGTCACGTCTCGCACACTACAACAAGAGATCCACCATAACGTCCAGGGAGGTCCAGACCTCCGTGAGATTGTTGCTGCCCGGCGAGTTGGCCAAACACGCCGTCAGTGAAGGAACGAAGGCCGTCACGAAGTACACCAGTTCCAAGTGAGGAGGAGAGGAAATGAAATGAAAAATATAATATAACAAAGGCCCTTTTCAGGGCCATTAAAAGATTCACATGAAAAGAATAATAATTTATTATTATTCCTTATATA